CCGTTTATGCTATATCGGCTCTGTCCTTTTCGCGATTGTCGATCTAATCTGCGCACATTGAATCTCAACTGGACGGGAGAATGCGTCGCAGTTAACGCGATCGCGCAGGAATGCTGGTTGTTGCCTCTAATCGGGCTATGAAAGAGGGGCTACCCTGCTGCTGTTTCTCGACGTCGTTTCAATTACCATTTTGAACGCTGCGTTTCGTTCCGATTTTACTACTCTGGTCAACATCGCGATAGATATCAGGTAGAAAATCATACCGCTTCAGAGGAACGTTGCTGAAAAATTTGGTTAAATTAAAAAACTAAAATTTTCACAAAGACTGATTCCCTTTGAAATTAATACGAAATGTATGTTGTGTTAAAGAAGAATATCGTCGAATGTTTGAAGCTTTCCAAATCTCCTAGGCCCAAAATATCGATTTTCAGGTCTAATTTTCACGAATCTAAAGCGTGTAAGAAGAGAATCGTCTTTTCGAGATTCTCCGAGTGAAAACGTAAGACTTTTTAAACATTTTAAACAAGAAACACGAAACTACGAGCATCCACGCTGATAGAACGATAATTTTGCATAACGCGTCCAGAAGAAAAATTATCAAATTGCATACATTTTACTCCCCTAGCAGAAACTCGAGTGCAGTTTTCTGTTTCTTTTAACGCTTGTAAAGAGATCTGCCTTACGCGTAACTTCACAACATTTCCAATCGTCGAATTTATGCATGAATTCGTTTAATTAGAAATACGGAGCTAAAAAAAAGGGGGAGTGAGAATAGACGATGGAAAACGAGATAGACGGCTGCGAAAGGAGATTCCTGGCAAATTGGAGGATCCTCGGTTGGGTTGTTCGCGCCTCGTGTGTCGCAGTCTCGCTGACGCGCAGATTATAAGCAGATTAGCGACGAGTTAATTAGCCGCGGGGAAATCTCGTCGAGTCTAAGGGGCGGAGAGGACGAGGGGGGGAAAAAGGGGGTACGGTTGCGAGACGAGGATGAAAATTACGCAAACGCGCGGTCATTCGTTGCGAAATACACGCAAATTGTATGTTCCGACGATTATTCCGTTTAACGGTTTCCTCGCTTTAATCACCGGCGCGAGTTCCGAAGACAGCCATTTCGCGAGACGCAATCGAGTTTAGCTCTACCTTGTTCGCCCACCGCGATCGTTGACGTTCCTCCGTTATCTCTGGAAGCTTCTAAATACCACGAGAGATCTCACGACCTAATTATTCGTTTAATTATTCGTCGGCTCGAGATTTTTCTTTCAAGTTCCCAATTTTCTCTCAAGTTTGTTTCGTCGTGTCATCGGCAGAAGAAGAATAAAGCAGAAAGAAAACACGCGCGACGACGTTTTGGCTAACCTCAGATCGAAAGAATTGAATCGGAGTTTCAGATAAACCGCGTTCGAATCGAGGAGGCAAGAGAAAATTGAAGCAAAAGAAAGAAAAAAAAAATAATAACGGATAGACTGTCGACGATAAAAGGACTATGCGAACGATAAAAAAATGAACATTCTACTCACGTCTTTTTCTCTCCTCCGTGGAACTGGTCAGAGCGGCGGCTGGTCGTCGACTCGGTGTCCGGTAGACTAGATGATTCCTAGATGATTCTTCGCCGCTTCAGTCGCGGGGGAGATTACTCTCACCGATTGAACTGTCGCTCGGGAAAAGAGGAAGAAAAAAAAAGAAGAACTTCGTTCGCCGACGTTATTTCGCGTTTATTGCACGGTTCGTGTGTCGTTTGGGCGCGGAGCGGTGCAAAACTCCGGTGCCGAGCAAGAGCAAAAGACAAAAGAGAGCGTCGGAAGAGATGTCCCGAGAAGTAAGTTACTCTCCTCTCTCTCTCTCTCTC